TGTTTGATATTCAGACAGATAGTGAGCTTAAGCTTAACAGCCTAGGTTGTATGGTAACAACAATAAGTTTGTCTTCTGGATGGTTAACAACCTAAGTTTGCAGACCAAAATTAGAGAAAAAGGCTCTCCTCCGGCCCCGCCCAAACAGCTGCCCATGACCTGCCTGGGCACAGGGAATGGAAAGCCGGAAGGGGCAAGACGAGTTCAGTTCGCCATGGGGCTGTTTGGAAAAACCCAGGAGAAGGCTCCCAAAGAGCTGGTCAATGAATGGTCACTGAAGATAAGAAAAGAAATGAGAGTTGTTGACAGACAAATTAGAGATATCCAGAGAGAAGAAGAGAAAGTAAAACGGTCTGTGAAAGACGCTGCCAAGAAGGGCCAGAAGGACGTGTGTGTGGTGCTGGCCAAGGAGATGGTCAGGTCGAGGAAGGCCGTGAGCAAGCTGTATGCATCCAAAGCACACATGAACTCCGTGCTAATGGGGATGAAGAACCAGCTTGCGGTCCTGCGAGTGGCCAGGTCCCTGCAGAAGAGCACAGATGTGATGAAGGCCATGCAGAGTCTTGTGAAGATCCCAGAAATCCAGGCCCCCATGAGTGAGCTGTCCAAAGAGATGATGAAGACTGGGATCACAGAAGAGATGTTAGAGGACACTTTCGAAAGCATGGATGATCAAGAAGAAATGGAAGAAGAAGCTGAGACAGAAATTGAATTTTCTGTCCTTCAAAGAGGACAGAAAATCCTCTTTGAAATTACAGCAGGAGCCTTAGGCAAAGCACCCAGTAAAGTGACCGATGTCCTTCCTGAGCCTGAACCTTTAGGAGCCATGGCTGCCTCTGAGGATGAAGAGGAGGAAGAGGCCCTGGAGGCCATGCAGTCCCGGCTGGCCACACTCCACAGCTAGGGCCTGCTCTTTCCACAGCCTGCCCGCCGGCACCTGTGCACCTTGGACGAGGCAGCAGTTCCATGTAGCTCTTGCACTACACCTCTGTCATGAGGCACTGCATTTGGGAGAAGGTCCTGTGCTTATCTCTTCACTCTCTGCAAGGTTTTGAGATCTCAAAGGGATTGTTCTTATGAAGGTGGTGTGATTAAATGCTGCATTTTCAGGAATATAAACAAATACCTTCTTGGGGAAGGCAGAGAAATCCCCTTTTCTTATGAAGCAGCTCTAAGAACTGAGTTGATTGCCTGAATGTTGAGGACTCTGCATGGGGGGAGGGGTGTAAAACACTATAAATTGATTTTAATAAATTTCTGCTTTAACAACAAAAAAAAATTAGAGAAAAAGGAGGGCTACAAGGAAAGCCAACATTTTGGCCCTAGCCTTCTAAGGTCAATTAAGACTCAGGACATATGAGAACTTGCACTGTAATGTCAAGTAACTCAGTAGTGTCCCAAATTTTCTGATCAAGGAGATTATGGGGCCAAAGAGGAAAGTGACCGATGACATAGAGTGTGCCTAAGGAGAGTCCCATGGAGAGAAAACATTCTCTCAGGCTTTCACAGAAAGCACATTGGCCAAGCAATGGCCGTGACTCATCCACATGGCTGACACTGACAAAGGTTCTACAATCTGAGGTACAAGATCTCAGGATAAATCCTGAGGGGATTTCACTGACCTTATCAGACCCAAAAGCTACAACTCTTGTTGCACAGGTCCTGCTTTACCTTGGTCTTATCCATCCAGTAGAAAAGTATGAAGACGAAATATAGGAAGTAAAGCCATGTTGTTAGGTTGAGCTGTGGGGGACTCAGGTCAATAATTTCTGACATTGCCAGTTAAACAGAAGACCCAATGCTATTGTGGGCTACTGGACTCTTTTAGAATATTTTGCTGAGTTTACACACCTATAATATTTAAATGATGGAACTTAACAAAAAAAAAAAGGAGATAAAGATGAATGTCCATTTTGTATCTGTGTACTCAAAGTGGTTAGGATAGATATATAGTTACATTCTCTTAATGAATAGAGGGATTTGTTCTAATGGTGTTTGTAAATAGGATATCAAGTCCACATCATGTACAACAATTAGCCACTAGGAAGAGAGTATGCAATGTGTTAATTATTGAAACTGTCCTACCAATTTGGTTTGAAACTGTCTCATTGCTATTTGTTTCTCAATGAAATTAATGAAAAAATAAATAAATAAATAAATAAAATTATAACTTAGTAGATGCCCCCACTTTAAGGCCTTTGACCTCCTAGTGGCTATCACTGATGTGGTTTTGTTCCCTGTCTTTTTAATGCCGAGCATGAGGCAGGATGGTCCCTTACCATGATGGTAACCATGGGACATCACCACAGGATAAGGGCTGGAGAATCTGAATGTTCTGTGAATTTTCTCCCATCCATCTCTTTTACAAAGAGATATATGCTGAAAGCCATACAGATATTTAACTGAAGTTTTTCCTACTATAATTTTAGATTATTCCTCAGGTAGAGAGAATAAAAGGTATTGGGCCTTTTGTTTGTCATAGTTCTTCTCATTTTTGAAGACAGTACTTTTCCAATGAATTGTCACATCCAGGGAAGCAACAATGAGCAAAAGCCAGTGAGATCTGCTCCTGAGCCCCTAGGAGTTAGCACTCTACAGAAATAAACCGAACATGGTAAGATGAGGTCCTTGCCTGAGAAAGCTTAGTGCTACTGTTAACTCTTAGCAGATGAAACCCTATTCCTTTCATCTTACCCCTTCAGGTGCTGCTCCTCGGAAGAATATTTGCAATATCAGTCCTCACTATCAGTCATAGCATTATTGTCTGTGGTACTTTGTGGGGTCCAGACCTATAGAGATCCTGTCAGGAGTTAAAGTGCTGGGGTCACCAAAAACCCAAGAGCTAGGAGGACCGTATTCTAAAGCAGATTTTAGAAAATAAAGTGAATGCAAAAAATCAAAACTGAACAAAATATCAGTAGACAGGATCATTCTGGTGTTTGTCGCAGGCGTGGTATAGTGGAGCATCAATGAAACGGGAATATGAAGTAAACAGATGAAGTGTGTGTTTTATTTTCTCTATTGCAAGCTAGAGGTCTGACCAAAGTGCCAATAAAAAGAGGGTAGGAGCTCAACAGAAAGCTCTCTTTACACAACTGTGTTGTAGGGGAGTCGCATCAGAAATTCAGTAACATCAGCCCAAATTGTTTCCCTCAGAGAGAGCACCTAGACTTCTAGATTCCCAGCTGGGGAGCCTCATAGGAGCACTGTGCCCAGCCAAGGGTGACATCTACAAGAATGGGGAACAGGTGGTGTTGCCCAGACTTCTAGGTGCTCTCTCTGAGGGAAACAATTTGGGCTGATGTTACTGAATTTCTGATGCGACTCCCCTACAACACAGTTGTGTAAAGAGACCTTACTGTTGAGCTCCTAGACTTATTCTCTGCACAGGTTTAGCAACAAAATTTGGTAAAGTTCACTCTGGTGCTTACAGTTGGTAGACTCGTTGCCAGCAGCCCCTGAGTATCTGCATCTTATGCTACTAGCTGACCACTTCTTATTCTGCCCTTATTCCAAACACAGAATCCAATAGGCCTAGACCCTTTTTTTCCTTTCCTCTCTTAGTAGATCATGACTGCAAGGTGAAGTGCCCCGAGCCAGCTTCAGTGTTCTGAGCTGCATTAATCAGGGAGGGCACTGTTAGATTAAAGTCCCGTGGGGCAAATGGAGCAGTTCCTTTGCAGTCAAGGTGGTTTTGCTAAAAGTAAGTTGTAGATGAAGCGTCAGCTCCCTCCAATATGCCAGCATTGTGAATTAACAATTAAACATGCCAAGGAAGTAGAACAAATAGCAAGTTCTAATAAAATTCCGAGAAAAGAGACATCACCAAGAGCCAGGCTATGTTAATTATATGTGATAAGAGCTTGCAATTATAAACCCATGCATATGCAAATAAAGACTGATGGTTCACCAGATGGAATTACAAAGTCATTGATATATGGCCAGTGACAAGTAGTCAGAGAGAGAGAGGATTTGTTTGTAAATTTGCTTAGAGATTACACTAAGGGGTCTCCAGCTACTTCACTCCCCTTGGGGAGCATCACCTCAGAGATCGTCACACGACACACTTGGTTGGACTTTCATAGTCCTTATCTTCTAACTGGACACCTCAAGTAGGATAAAGAGACCCTTTCCGCCGTAACCGGCTGACTTAGGCTGCCAGACGTCATTCCCCACCCAGACCTTCAGTGATCTGACGGGAAGTGTCATCTGCCTGCTGCCCAGATCCCAGGAACAGCGAGCGGTTAGTATTTCTTGTCTATCCGCAAAAATGTCAGGGGAGTATAGCTTCAGGGGAGGGCTGACATGCTCACTGCTACCGTGAGGCTTTGCTGGGATGCCCGGCTGGGGAGCCTCGGAGGAGCACTGTGCCCAGCCGAGGGTGACATCTACAAGAATGGGGAACAGGCGGTGTTGCCAGGCTCAAATACATGAGAGACGGCAGCGGACTGTGGGCGGATGACCCGTCCACACCAACTACCTAAAGTTTTTCATTTCTAAGATGACAACTTCGGGGTTTCTGTCCTTCAAAATAGCCTATGTGGGCCAGGAAGATAGCTCAGTGGAATAAGTGCTTGCCCGGCAAGTGCAAGGTGCTGAGTTTGATCCCTAGTACCACCAAAAAAAAAAAAAAATAGCCTATGAGAATGAATGACAGTTTAAGAAATCGAAACATAATAAAAAGATTCAGAATAACTTAGGACTCTCTTGAAAGAGCTAAAATTTGGGAGCCACGGAGATAACTCAGCAGCCTAAGCCATTGCCTACTCAAGCACCAGGACCCAGATTCAATCCCCAGCACCACGTGCCTCGCCGGCACCCACACACCTGTAACCAAAGTACAGTGGAGGCTGAAGACAGGAGGCTCACTGCGAGGCCAAGGAGCATAGTGAGACCCTGTACCAAATATGTAAGAAAAGAAAGAGCTAATTTTTTTTCTCTCAGTACATAATGGTATCTCCTTTGGCTCAACATCAAGCGCTTGCTCTCATTCCTCTGTTCAGCTTGGCAAGTGCTGTGTTTTCTCTATGTTGTAAGCTAGCCTACATAGTACATAATATAGGACAGAATTCTAGGGCCATATTGAAGCTCTTTGTTCAAAATTTTCAAATATAAACCGCATTGTTATGCCACTTAAGAGGAGGTTTTCACTGATATTTTAAATTTTGTTATTTGGTTGCCTGAGAATGTTGTCAAGTGTGTCAAGTATTGTTATGTGTTGGGATGTTTTTCATCAACCTGTCTCTTGAGCTATCAAGTGTCCTCAAAACTGAGTATACACTAGGATTTGTTTCTTCTTTTAGCCAAAACTGTAAATAACATGAAATAAGGAAGGAATGGAAGAGTAAGTGACAAATAGAAATGAACATGTAATATCAGCAACTGTATTTTGCCTTGATAATAATTTGCAGTGATGAGTAATTAGACACAAGCACATAATCCACTGTGAGGGAATCCTAGAAATGACAGTAAGATAATAAAGTATTGACGTAACAATACTCCATCCACAACATCATTCCACAAAAGACACAGGTAAAAAGTTCAAGAGTTCAACCCTGGACAAACTACGGGGCTTCATTTTCATTTTCTTTAATTTCCAGTAGTATTCAGAGTCTTTCTAGAGTCTTTCTTTAATTTAGTTAAATGTAATATAATTAGAAATTTCTGAAAGAGATATATATATTAGCTTGCTTTGGTTCTGAAAACATTTTCCTAAATATGGCCCTATTGTGATAAAAAAAAAAAAAAAGACTGGGAGAAAAATTGCTGATATTATGTTTGGAGGGTCTATAGAGTCTACATCAGACTGAAAAAATTGAATCAGCCCTCCCTGGCAGATACAGTGCTGCTGAAATGATGTCATCGTAAAAGACGTCTTAGGACTCAAAACAAGGCATCAGTTCCTTTATTCTAAGGTTCTGTTCTGGCAGCGGCAGGTTAGATCGCCACCACTTTGTATGTGCTACTTTAAATACAGATGCAGTGAATTGTCTAATGTCTTCAAGCTCTAAATCATATAGGAAGAAAATAACATTCTTTCTAGTTTCCTGTGTGTTAATTGGACTGAAAATTAATTAAATATATTACCTCTTATAGATCTTATTGATAGTTTTCTTTGTATTAAATTTGCAGTCTTAAATTTTCTAAGAGTGTTTCTGTAATTACTAGGTATGACTTCTACAACAAAAAGTGATGCTAACATAAATAAAAATAGTTTATGTTATTCCACACTAATTCCAAAGGCAGTGCAGTATCGCTGCATAGAGTGACGCAGACGGTCACTGTGTTCTGCTCTCTGTAGTACTTGCCTTTATCCTCAGCGTTGTTTCAGAAGCCAGGAGGATCGCTGGCTTCCCTAGCTGCCTGCAGTGTACATTGGAATGAACATCTGAAGGGTCCACATCTACCCACAAAGAGGCAAAAGAGTAAAGTTGTGCAGACAGCATCCCCAGTGGGAAAGTTGGTTTCTGTTAGCAATGCTTAAGGGATGAAGGACATTGCTTTGCATTTTTAATTCTGCATGAGGTGAGATGCTGCCAGTTGGACAGCTGTTCCTTTGGGTGCTAACCATGTGTATCTTCTCTTCCTCTTGTATCACCAGGCCTCCGGAACCTGTTTACAGCACTGTGAACAAACTGTGTGATAAGCCTGCTTCTCCCAGGCACTATTCCCCTGTTGAGTGTGACAAAAGCTTCCTTCTCTCAGCTCCCTACCCCCACTACCACCTAGGCCTGCTCCCCGACTCTGAGATGACCAGGTACTGCATGCGCTTTCTCCGCTCATCTTCTCGAGTTGCATGTGCTTCCACCAGGACGGATGGTGGAACCCACCTCCGCCCGCTGCTCACACACTCAGCATCTTCCTCAGGATGGGGAGATGCTCTGTACTGTGAGGCACAGCGAGGAACAGAGCACACTGCTGTCTTGTTTCCTTGCGTGATCATAGAGCACTGTGACACGCTCACATGGTGCTCTGCGTGTTCTTGGTGCCTGTGCATTCTAATGAGGTATTAGCTCTACTACCCCAGAACAACCAGTTTTGGAGTTTATTACCATTTCCTTCATACAGAAGTATGAACGAGAACATTTATTGTCTTTTGGTAGTATTTAATCAGTATTTACTATGCCTTGGGCATAACACAACCTAAGAAATAAATACTACTCTTGCCATTTAATAGTTTAACTAAATATTAAATTGGCATCACCATTTAACTGATTCCTTGCTGCATTATACAACTTATCTAAAATTATGGATTAGTTGTTTCTAACTACCGTAAACATAAGCTTAATTTTTTATTAATTTTATTGAGGAACAAATAGCAATGAGAGAGCTTCAAAACCAATTAATAGGGCAGTTACAATAATTAATACATTGCATAGTGTTGTCTTTATAGTACTTATTCATAGTACATGATGCAGACATGATATCCTGTCCAAACACTATTTGTACAAATCTTTCTTCTCATTGAATTAAGAGAAAGTAGCTGCATGTCTATCCTATTTTGTATATAGATACAAAATGGTCCTTCATTTATATCCCTTTTTTGTTTAGTTTTGTCAGAGATGGGAGTTCCATTGCCATTTAAATATTGTACTTGCATGAATTCAGCGAAGTAATCCGATATAGTCCAGTAGTCCATAATAGTAGTGGGTTATCTGTAGGACTGGCAATGTCAGAAGTTGTTGAAATAAGCTTAATATTTACACCATCTCAAGTGTATGTTACATTCTCTTGTTTAATTACTTCTATCATTTATCCACTATAAAGGTCCAGCAAGGTTAAGGCAAAACGCTCAGTATTAGCTTATCAGTAAGTGTGGAGCTCGGATTTGAGGTCAGAATTTTGATTCTTTCTGTAACAGCTTTGTAAAGAAATTGTTCCAAGTCTAAAGGCTACACACAATTCTGCTTTTGTACTCTGTCACATAAGTACGTCAAAGAATGAAAACCCTGCCTTTGCATAATCCTGAGAATCAAGGGATGAGGACAGGAAGAAAAATAGGACCCAGTATTCCATACGAGGGTTCAGATTCAATTTAAATGAAGACCCCAGCAGTGACATTCCTACTTATATAGACTGCTTATATGCTACTAGACAGAATAACCATAGAATGATTATCAGGGTGACAAAAATAGAGATTGAATAGGTCAACAGGATCTTCATAGAACTTCATCATTTTTTTTATTTTCAAAGAATGCGTGAACATCAATCTTCAGTTCCTATATGGGAAATAAAGAGCAAACTTTAAATTTTATATAAACTTCCTAGAAATAAGTAATTTTTGACTAATCAGCTATACAATTTTTACTTAGTTGTAACAAAGCTTAGTAATATTCCATAAAGTTTTATGAATATTAACTAAATTATATAGCTTACTAAGTTATAAAACTATTTCTCAGTACAGTGAGCTATACTGTCTTGAAGCTAAGAGTACAAAATTGCTGTTGCAACAGGGAGAAGAGAAGGTTACCTGCCTACAGTAATTACTCCCTATGAATCTCGAGTCTGTTGCCAGCTATGTGGGGCAGGTGATGTTTACTGAGCGCTTCCTCTACCCCAGCACGTTGTCAGCTCACTTCCCGTGCGCTCTTTCTGCTGAGTCTCCCCATGATCTTACGATGTAGCTATGATCACTGTCCTTGTTTCTAAGTGCCAGAAGTAAGACTTGAGAAGTTGCCAAATTTGTCCAAGGTCGTCCACAATAAGTGGCAGAGCTGGGACTCAGAGCCAGCAGACCACTGACCTGGTGCAGAGCATGAGTCTATGTCGGCGCAAGGGTAATGGTGGGGACATGTTTGCTCCCTGGGAAATTTCCAACCAATTTCTGTTTGGTCTTTTTCTAACTTTATCCTAAATCTCGCCTCTGTTTCTCTGCTTAATGTCAGTGAGTCTTTTTTTTTTTTTGTTTTAACCCACACTCCGCTTTTGAGGAACATGAAAGTTTTGTTGATTTCATGCCGCTCCACTAAGGATTTTGGTCCATTTTTCCTTAAAAATTCACCAAAAAGTAGCTGGCAAAGTCAACTTCCTGAGTGAAAACATGAGCTTCGTTTTCTTTCAGTTTACTTTCTATGATCAATATTATGATGACCATAGTGTTTCCCTTTCATATATCTTTTATTTTTTAAAATTGAAAACATTATCATGTTCAAATGACAGTTCTGAGATGCACCAGTCCCCAACCTGTACCTTCACTGGCTTCTTTCAATTTCTCCAAATCAAAAAATGATACATAAGTTTACTCTGCTGCTGAAGTTAAAAGTTTGAGTTATTTTTAAACCTTATTTCCCTCACTTCTGTTATGCAATCCGTCTTCAAATCTTACTGAATTTTACTTCCAAATATATAATCTCATCTCTTTACTCTCTCTACAGTAGTTTCACCACTTGAATCAAATTACTATCATTCCCCAAAACAGCCTCCTAACTCATCTCATCCCTTCCGTTGTTGTCCTCCTCGTTCATTTTTAATGCAGTCCAAGTGAGCCATTAAAATAAGATCATGCCGTATCCCTTTCCTTTTGCATTGGGATAAACGCAAAGTCATGAGTCCAGCACCCAGGCTTGCATGACCTAGCACGTGCCTGCTTCATGAACGTGTCATCTTGCTCTTCTTCTTGCTGTCCACACTATTCACATCGGCCTTTTTAGTCACACAAAAAATAATCACTAAATTTCTTTCTACTTCGAGTACTCCACACATTCCTTTCCCTGAAACTGAGGAGTTCTCTGCACACGTTGCCTAATTCACTTCTGGTCATCTTAGAGCTGAGCTAAAATTGTACTTCCTCGGAGAAGCTCGCTGAAGGGGAATCATAAGACCCCCTATTTCTTTGTTCTTTTCCTTCACTCCTTCTCTTTCTTTCTCTCCCTCTCTTCCATAAGACTCAAGCAGTTTATAATTGTACAAGCAGACTGTGTGTCTATCTCAGGTTTGCGCTTGTCACGGAGCAGAAACGTGCCCATTTTGCATGCTGACAGGTTCCTAGCCTTCCCACAGTGCCCGCCCCACTCAGGATTCAAATTTATACTGCGGATAAGTGAACTTGGAAAGAGGGTACTCAGCCGAGCAAACTGATGCCTGTCCCTGGAGCAGGCCATAGCTCAAGCCGTGCTTTCCCCAGCTCTTAACAGGTACCTGAAACTTCTCCATGAATTATTATGAAACCAAATGACAACAACTAGACGTCACTTTGTGTCACAGCCTCACATGAGTGACTTGAATAGTCAGGGTCTACATTACCACTCATTAGTTAGCTGTCAGTTCCTGGTGAAGGCTGAACAATTCAGAGGTTATTTACTTCCTTTCCCATAGGAAACAACCTCTCCAACCAGATGTTGCTTGAAATGAAGCCAATAATTCAGCAGAGATTCAACGATGCAGGTTCAGTTTACTACACCTTTACCTGCTCTTCCCACTCTGTCCTTGAATAACTGATAGAATCCCAGGTAGATCAGGCATGTGTAGTTGAGACTTTATCTGGTTTCAACTATGCTAATAAAGCCTATCTGCTGTCTTAATGGGTCTGTGTCTTATTTCAACCCATAGTAAAATAAAAAATATTTTAGAATTGTCAGCCCTGGAAGGGATATTACAAGAATATATCTATTAATTCATTTAACCAAGATTTATCAAGCACTAATCAAACACAAAATAGTATACTAAGAGACCTTTTCACAAAAGTACAAGCTGAAAAAGCAAGCAGAAAATTAGAAAGAAAAGCTTTTACTTCCTGTTGCAGTACATGATGATGTGTAGATTTTTAGTGCACTCAGAAATTGTAAGAGTATATTTCAGAAGTATGCCCCTATCACTACAGCAGTTACTGCCTCAGATTAGTATCTGAGCTAGTTAGGAGAAAGTCAGTGTGTGAAATCGCCCTTACATTTGTGCTAGTTTAATCTCTAATCAGCATTTAGAAAAATAGAGGCAAGTCAGCAACACCAGCCTTTCTTGTCTCTGAGCATCAGTGGAAATACCCAAGTTTTCAACTCTAAATTAATAACAAACACCCAGGGATAATTTAATTATGTATACAATTTCCTTCCATAAGGTCATCTCAAAGAAAACAGAAACTTGTAACTTTTTCTTAGGAAAGCATTTTAAATTACTTGGCACAGGGCCGAAGGCTGAAGATGTTTAGAGTAGTTGACTTTTCAAACCATGTACAGAAATAGCTAGAGCCTGCAATCGAACTCAAATGTAAAGCTATATGGAAAGCAAATGACATTACTAGGAGTCTCCTGCTTATCAAGTATATCTCTTTTGCTTAAAGAAAAAAGTATTTATGATGTTGGCATTGTTTTTTTCCTTCTTTGATTGTTCCTAGAGCGAAATGAATAGTCTTCTTGAGTGATCTCTCCATGTATGTGACCTACATTTATTTGTTCTTTTTCTAAGATAGGCTTAATTGTTGTTGATTTTGCAGTTGAGAACAGAGGCTGTGATGAACCAGATGAAGTCCAATTAAAATATATTGGCAGATGCTGGATAGGAAGTGGATGTTGCATCATTGCATGAATATAAAATATCTTCACTCATTAAAGATGACATATTCATGAGACATGTAGGTACCAGGCATTACCCTGAGTCCTTGAGATTCAAAGGTGAACAGTACATTATCTATTCCCCTAAGCAACTCACAGACACAGTCACTGCGTGGCCTACATTTCTGAGGCCTGCATCTCTAGTGTACTTCATCTCTTTGTTGAGAGAAAAACATTACACAAATTTAACAAGGTTTATTTAGCAAAGAAC